ATTTTTGACTGCGGCGCCCCATAGACCTGGTTTTCTTTGACTCTTTGCTGTATGTCATGTTTTGCTGTCTGCCTACTTTGTGTTTTATCAAAATAACACTTCCTTTGATGAATTTACTAAGATTATTTTGAGCACACAGGACTATCAACCTATTTAAGTGGAATTTATTTTTATGTCCTGCAACCAAAGGCCAAAAAGTGATAATGTTTTTGCACATGTTTGTGTATGTCCATGTCTCTAACTTTGGAAAAATACCCCATGAATAGTGGACAGATTTCATAACTCCTGGGAACCCACAAAAAGCTACCTCACTGAACACAGAAATGACTTTAACTCAGCCACTCACATCCTGAGGCAAACTTTGAGGTAGTAGCTGARAGTCATTCCTAACATACTCTGAACTAGGACATCTCACAAGAAGTTACCGTATTGCACATAATGTCATTTACAAGCTTTGACTAAAGCAATTAATCTGAAATTTTTTTCATTATAAGATAATTTTAGTTTAAAACTTTGGCATGAAATATAGTGAATGTTTTGTGTTCCTTCAGGGAATGAGAAGCCTTTAATTTAATTGTTTGTTTGTTTTTGGCAGGCTTTGAACATCCAGGGCAGGCTCAAGTTTCTTTATGGACAGAAGCAACAGCAGGAAAACGCAGGAAAAGCCACGCCACAGCTCGCCCTGTTTGCTATCGCAGCTCCTCTGCAGTCTCCAGCCATTCTGGAGATCAGGACCAAGAACATGATCTTCAGAACCAAACACAAGCTGGACTTCACACCCATGGCCTGTGACGCTAAGTAATCATAGCTTTGAATCTTCCTGGTGTCCAGTTATAGCATCAAGTAATGTTCTAGAAACGGCTTCAAACTGAAAATAATATTGTGGTTTGCTTTTGTTGTGTCTTAGTTTGCCATGTTCTTTGAATGAGGCTTTCTTAGATAAATGTGGTCTTTTTTTCAGAGGGAAGATAGTTTTGGGGTATACCGAGGCCGAACTGCGTGTAAGAGGATCAGGCTATCAGTTCATCCACGCTGCAGACATGTTGTACTGTGCAGAGAACCATGTCAGAAGTAAGCACTACCAAAGTGGGCTTGTGTTTTCTGTCCTCTTCGATGCCATTTCTAAATACATTCCTTGAAGGAACATATATCAACTACCACATCAGGGGCGGTTCTAGGGGTGGGGCCACAGGGTCATTGGCCCCAGTTGAAATCTGATTGGCCCCCTGAAGTGCCCCTGTCCTGTCACTCATCTGTCCTTTGCCCAAGAGAGTAATGATGGCGGGTGCAGTTCCATGTTCAAACACTAGAGGTGCTAATGAGTCAGATGCTGTGTGTTTGAGTGTTTTTGATCTATGTACAGTAAAAATACATGTAAAACGTCTCAGGAGAAAATACAGTATTTTTCGGAATATAAGCCGCACCGGACTATAAGCCGCACCCCCCACCCCCCATCAGTAAAAACAAAAACAAAACAGT